TATACACGCACCTCATTATTAATTATCCTTATATTTACCTAGGTGGGATAGGTTTTGCACATGTGTACGATCTCCTTGATTGTCTTTACAAAGATTGTGCTATATGAGCAAAGACAAAAGGCAGTGATCAAACAATGCCATTGACTATTGGGGGCATTTAAAAAAGGAAGAACTCTGTCTGTGATTCGTATTCAGGAATTGTCCTCCAAGGTGGACATTGTGTTTGAATCTTCCTTAAGGAAAAACAGTGGAGTGCCGAAACTGTGAGTGTAACACAAATCCTTTTGAGAACTTGAGGAATAGGGCAGGGTGTACCATTTTTTTTTTTAATAACAAATGTTTACTATTTTTTCTAATCAGCTGAATAGTAACAACCCAATTGCACCAACCTAGGGTACCAACCAAGAATGAAGAATTCCTGCTTGCTATAGAGCATAGAGGCTACCCCCACCCACACTCCCCGAGAAGAGGTATAATACTCTTAAAGATGCCATTCAAATGCTGCTACAAAAGGTTCTTGTATTCCTTTGATTTCCCAGCAAATGATAGCTCTTCTTTCCATTAGAAGCATGCAGAAAGACAGAGTTTTCCTTTGGAACACTCGATGCTCCTTGGCTCTTAGAATCTGACCCCAATACTTCCTGGAAGCGCTGCAGAGATTTTTCTATAATTGCATCGATTTAACACCTTAGACTGTCTGCGAAGTCTCTGGAGAAATAATGGACGGACTGTGTTCTTTTCAAGTTGGCAAGGTCCAGTCAAGGTGCATTAAAAGGAGAATGTTTACATGTATGGGCTGCTTTAGGAGGTGGCCGCCCATCTTCTAGCTACGAAGATTGCAGAAGGAAGAGGGGACAGCCAAACATCTCTGGCTTTAAGTTCATTTCATGAAGTGTGACTTCCATCAGTTTTCTGAACTTTTTGTTTGCTTTTCTTTCTTTCTTTCTTTTTTCTCTGTAGTTGCTTCCATTTAAATTCAATTTCTTATTAGGTGTTAGAGCTTCCAAATGGGATATTGAATTTCTGGGGATGAGAGAGACTTCCCGTGCTTAGTTTGATTTTTTAAAATGCATTTCATTTAGCAAAACTCTCTCTAGTCTGGAAGTCTCTACAACATTCTTACAAATCAGTGCACAGTCTTACGGATGGCAAAGAATCTCAACAAATAAATCATTTGATACCGGCATCCAGCTGTTCTGGACTCAGGGCTAAAATCCTTGAAGTATATAATACCAAGCAAATGGAAATCATGGAAATAAAATATATGGCAAAACATCCATTTACTGAAATAATACTTTTATGATTTTCAAAATGTAGTACAGCCCTGCTTCCAGAAATACATTTTCATGAACTAGCAGGAAGACATTCCAGCACTGAAACTTGCTTTGAGTGGATGGAATTCTTGGAATCCTAAACTTCTGGGTTTCCAAATATACCTGTTTTTGAAACGTTAATATATTTTTTTTCACAGCTTTTTCAAGGAATTCTTGTTTTCACATTTTCCTGGCCAATGAGTAGTTGAAACAGGCTGAATATAATTCCTTCATAAAAAAAATCAAATTCTAAATCTTACTTTTAAAAAAAAATGCATCAATATGATTATTCTAATTTCAGGGTTTTTTAAACAAATTTAAGGTCAGTAATTATTTTAAAAAGGAAAAAAAAAAAGCTTCCTCATCTAATTTTATCTTTCCAGCGTCACTTGAGTATTTAGCTATATAGGTGTGCTGTATATACTGGGTTGAATATCTTTATTAATATTCACAGTATTTAATAAAATGCAAATTTGCTGTTAAGTATGTTATATTATTTCATGTAAATGGTTTTGTACAAATCTTTAAAGATTCCCCAGTTTTTGCATTTGTAGATATGAAAAAGTAAGCAATTCATTTTTCTCTGTTTGTCTTGCATGTGTGTGTGTGTGTGTGTGTGTGTGTGTG